ATGCAACACAGTAATACACAGAGATACATTCTGATTACTAAACAATTCTACTAGAAAGGAAATTCTTCTCCAGGTAGATTGGTGATGGTATACTTATAAGTCTGAACCAACATTTATGAATCATTGCTGAAGGCCAAACATCACATTTTCAAGTTCCATCAAGTTTCAGTTTTTTACTTTAAAGCAATTCTGTTGCTTTTGTGTTTCTATGCTATAGAAATTTTATATCTATGCTATAAAAATATAGATTCATGTTTTAATAAAACACTTATTCTGTAAACATCTCAAGGAACAAGTAAAACTTCAGCTCTCCAGTAATGTATCAAAATGGAAATACCTTTGTCAGCATAAAAGATTCCAGTGAAAAGGACAGCATACGTTATTTTCCCATTGGGTTCATTCAGGGGAAACCATTTCACTTTAACTTCTTTGGCTCCACCATTAATAACAAACAGTTCAATGTTTCCTTTAGGTACATCTTCAGTTGTATGAACTTTTACCTGGGTATTTCATAAAACAGAGAAGAAAGAGAATATGAGAATATGAATATGACTACTGATTTGCTTCCGGTGCAATTCAAGGTGCTGGTTGTCACCTTTAAAGCCCTTCATGGCTTAGGACCAGGTTATCTGAGGGACCGTCTCTTCCTGGTCACATCTACCTGACCCATTAGAGCGGGGAGGCAGGGAATGCTGCGGGTCCCATTCCTGAGGGTGATACATCTAGTGGGACCCAGAAGAAGGGCCTTCTCTGTGGTGGCTCCCTCTCTCTGGAACATCATTCCCCCAGAGATTATATTTCTGCAACTTGAACATGTAGGAATGAATCTGATAACTTAGGCTATGGCTAAGGATAGGATAGGATAGGATAGGATAGGATAGGATAGGATAGGATAGGATAGGATAGGATAGGATAGAATAGAATAGAATAGAATAGAATAGAATAGAATAGAATAGAATCATAGGGATGGAAAGGACCTTGAAGGTCTTCTAATGCAATCTCCTGTCCAAGTCAAGAGGTTTTAAAGCATCCTGAACAAAGATTATTCAATCTTTTCTTGAAAACCTCCAGCGATGGAGCAGCCACAACTCCAGGATCAGCCATTCCACTGATTAATTGTTCTCACTGTCAGTAAATTTCTTTTTAATTCCAGGTTGGCTCTCTCTTTAATGAGCTTCCACCCATTGCTTCTTGTCTTGCCCTCAGGTGCTTTGGAGAATAAGTTGACCCTTTCTTCTCTATGACATCCTCTCAAGTATTGGAAGACAGCTATCATGTCACCCTAAGCCTTCTGTTCATTAGACTAAACACTCCTAATTTCCATAGCCATTCATTGTACAGTTTAGCCTCCAAACCTTTATCATTTTTGTTACTCTTCTCTGCACTTTCTAGGACCTTAGCATCTTTCTTCTATCATGGCAACCAGAACTGAACACACTATTCCAAGTGCGGCTTCACATGTGCAGTATAGGGTGGTACTATCACTTCTTGTGATCTTGTTATCCCTCTGTTGATGCAACCTACAACTACTTTGGCTACCACACATTGCCAGTTCATGTTTAAATGAACTGAGTTTATGAAATGAAATGAGTTTAGGACTCCTAGAGCCTTCTTGAAGTTGCTCCTATTGAGCCAGGTACCAGTAAGTCTATACCAATATATTTGATTTTTTCTTGCATAAGTGTAAAACCTTATTTTTGTCACCACTGAATTTCATTTTGTTAGATAGGGCTCAGTGTTCAAGTCTGTCGAGATCCTTTTGAATCTTGAGCTACCTTCTGAAGTGTTGGTTATTCCTGCCAGATTGGTGTCATCTGCAAATTTGATGAGTTGCCCTTCTATTACCTCAATATTGTAGAGTACTGGTCCTAAAACAGAGTCTTGGGGTATCCCAGTGCTCACTTCCCTCCCTGTAGATGCAGTTCCATTAAGGATTACATGTTGTGTGCTGTTTGTCAGCCAGTTCCGAATCCATCTGGTGGTGATACTGTCTAAACCACATTTTTCTAACTTAATCTTTCTGAGCAGGACTGGAATGAACTGACAGCAATTTACTAGTTTATCCTACTAATTGATAGATATCATTTATAACTATTGCTACAGTTTTCCCCCACTTCCCACTAATCTCTAATAGATGGGTGAAAATTTTCATCAACACTATTATTATAGCTCAGCACGGGCCTGGTGGCTCAGCAGACTAATAGCATTGTGATTAACACCAGCTGTCTGCAATTACTGTAAGTTCGAATCTCACCAGGCTCAAGGTTGACTCAGCCTTCCATCCTTTCTAAGGTAGGTAAATTGAGGACCCAGTTTGTGGGGGCAATAAGCTGACTTTGTATAAATATACAAAAGTATGAAGGCTATTGCTTAATGCATTGTAAGACGCCCTGAGTCTCCAGAGAAGGGCGGCATATAAATCAAATAAAAAAATAAAAATAAAAAAAAAATATCTCCTATAGCAAACAGGTGTTTAGATCAAATTATCTTTAAAGTCCTTTTTAGCTGTATGCTTTCCATGGTTGCTAATAGGTAGTTACTCACAAAAATGGAAAGCATCCTAAAAAAAAATAAAGTTATTGGGGGGGAATAATTGCTGCTTGCTTTCCTGGCATGAGTAGGGGGAGGAAAAAAGCAGAGGAAAATATCAATTGGGGGCCATGAAATCTTCATCCAGACAGAATATCTGATCAGCATCAGTGATAAGGCATGATACCCAGACTATGTCTTCTTAAATTGGCTTTATTTACAGCAATGGAAGAGTTTAAGGCTGCTGTATGGAATTGCGCAAAGAGAGCAAAGTTAAGATTAAGAGTTAAAAGGGCATACTGTATATAAATAAAATATTTTTTAAAAAAATTGTGAATTCCTAAACAAGGAAATTCCAGTAGAGTGAATGGAATTAAAAATAAAAATGATGGGATTATTTGGGATGAAACTGAAATAAGAGAAAGATGGAAAGAGCATTTAAAATTCGTATTGGAATGACAATAATATGCTGAAAAATATAATTATATAATTGCAACAAAAACAGTAAATGTTAGTGTCTGCGAAAAAAGAATGAAAAGTCATAAACATTGTGAAAATGTTGAAAAATGATACTGCTACAGATGTTGGTAGGATTGATTGAGAAAAGTAAAAATATGGCTGTGGTTTGCTTGCATAGGGGCTGTGTGACATTTTTGACATATTCATAAAGGCAGCATCTGTGCCTAGGGTTTGAAGAATGCCATTATTGTTTTTCCATACAAAGGGAAATGTTTTAAGAGTGGATGCAAGAGTTTATAAATGTGGTAGAATTCTGATTTAAAAAAACCATTGAAGACCAACATTTGTGAAGTTTAATGCAGCTTTACAGAGGATTCTGGCTCTTTGGGTGGTCATTGAGAAGGAAAGTTTATTGCACAATGCACATATTATGATTTAAGTAAATCATATGATTAAGCAAGAGGAATAAGTGATAGAAAGTTTTGCACAAATTTAAATGTAAACTGGAAGTTTGGTTGCAATAAACCAAATGGTATATCATGGAATTAAAGTGAACATGAGAATAAGAATAAGAAGCCTATAATGCTAGGAAAGGTGATTTAAAAAGTCTATAATGCTAGGAATCGTGGAAAGAAAAGGAGAAGAGGACCATAAGCAAAAAGATGGATGATAGTGATGATGGTATATCATTGAAATAGTTGATGGACTAAACTGGGGGTAGATCATCTACACAAGGTTATTCTATGTGGTCAGTAAAAATAAATACCAACTTGATGATACATAGTCGTAATCAATCTCTAAGTATTCTGCTATTCTTTTTGTAATTTTATTTGGACTGTGCTGCTTATTTGGAAATATTGAAACCAATAGGGCAATTTTGACCATGTTCAAGTGGTTTCTTCTTTGTTTTATTAACAACTAAGTCTCAGAATCTATATGAATTGTTATCTCTCCCTGATCAAATTATTTTGTACATTCACCTTTATGAAAATTAATGTCTAATAGTGAAGCAAGAACTAGCAAATCCTAGTTTAAACAGAGTTGGAAGGGACTTTGGAGGTTTTCTAGTTCAACCCCCTCTTAGGCAAATGATTTTCCAATTTCTTCTTTAAAACCTCCAATGTTGAAGCAGCCACAACCTCTAAAGGCAACTCATCTGATTGATATATCCTTCCATTCCCCACCATCTAGTCAGAGCTGAAGAAGCTTCTTTTCTTCAAAGAAAAACCAGAAAGTACAGTTGCCTCTTGAAAAAGTACCTTTGGGACAACCATGACCTAGATAACTGAGAATCTCATAGACATTTAAGATTTGTTAATGTCAGTCTACCTTATCTTGCAAAATCTTGAGTTTATTCCTAGGTCTTTTGTTTGAGTATACACTATAATCTCTGTTATTTGTTTTTGCCACTTATTTAATACCTTATCTTCAATTTTCACTGGAATAATTTGGAATAGAAAATTAATCCTTGGTAAAACATTCATTTTTATTGCTAATATTCTACCTTATCAGAACAAGTTTAATTTTTTTCAATCTTATAATATCTTGCATCAAGTCTCCAAGTTACCTTTTAAGCAAGTCTTTATTTTTTTCCATTAAGTACAGTTTTAGGTATTTAACTGGTTTAATAGTGATATTAAATTCTGTTATTTGTGCAGATACTGCTTTTCTTCTTTAGATAAATTCTGTTTTGCTTCTATTTTCTCCATGTTTGCCTCAATAGTGTTCAAAATATATTTGATATTATTTCTCATATCATTACATTATCTCTCATTTGTATTTGGGACAAATCCTTTAGTAAGGATGTATTAGATTAGTTAAAAAGACATAATAGCAATTATTTCCATAAATAGCCTTTTGAAACTAGTTCAGATTTTAAAGTAATGTTCTGTTTAAATACAAGTTAATATTCTTAATTATAAATTTCCTAGCTTTTCATTAAGTCTGAAATCACATGCCACTTCTTTGGAAAAAAATATAAAATATTATGCAGGAGCAATTCTCAAATCTATGGATACAAATTTTTACTCCTGGCACATTAAATAAAGGATCTGCAATAAAAATTGCTGGAAGCAGAATATCACCTTACTGTAAGGAGATGCCCTTGTTTCTATTAAAAAGGAATCAGAGAGCTACATTATAAATGGTAAAGAGAGAGAGAAATACTTTAGAAAATCAAATGTGCTTCTGGTGCTTTAATATCCTGGTAGCACTTAGGTCTGTGCTTCTTAAATAGAAATGTATTTCAGTTTTAGTGACTAAAGATGGATCACTGGTCAGGAAAATAGAGTGTTTTTTCTTTTTTTTTCTTTTTGGGAAAGTAATACAGATAATCGCCTATCAGTTAAGAGACAGTTAAGGTACAGGATTTGTCCTTATGCACAGAAGCTGATTGGTTGACTCTGGAGTCACTGCCTCCCTCTTGGCCCTGATTCCCAGGCCTATCTACCAATCTGCATTGGACCAGCATAATCAATCACAATACATAACTTTACACAAGGTGTTTTTATGCTTAAGTAGATTGATTCAGGCTGATAGTAATAATTAGGTAAACTGCAATTTCTCTATTATGAAGAGGAGGACCTATAGTGAAAACACTATACTATCACAAGAGATAATGCAAGCGCAAATAAACTACATCAATGTCACACGGGAAGTGATCTTAGAAATAATGATATTGTACCCGGGATGGGATAATTTAAAACAGAATAAGAAAATATTTTAAGGGCGTGATTCTACCAACACAATTATTTTCAAGTATTATAAATAGGCTTATGCGGTAAGAAATATATGAAAGGCAAACAGCAACAATTTAACAAGAATTGAGCCTTGGTAGTACAGGGGTTTAAGGCACCCTGTTATTAAGCTGGTTATTAAGATCAGCTGCCTGCAATTACTGCAGGGTTCAAATCTCACCAAGGCTCAAGGTTGACTCAGCCTTCCATCCTTTCTAAGGTAGGTGAAATGAGGATCCAATTTGTGGGGGCAATAAGCTGACTTTGTATAAATATACAAAAGGATGAAGGCTATTGCTGAGCACATTGTAAGCCGCCCTGAGTCTTCGGAGAAGGGCGGCATATAAATAAATAAATTAAAAAAAATTGGTGGAAGAGAGGGAGGGAGGGAAGGAGGGAGGGAGGGAGGGAGGGGAGAGAGAGAGAGAGAGAGAGAGAGAGAGGGAGAGAGGGAGAGAGAGAGAGAGAATTGGCAAAAAGCCCCTTGTGTTTTTAAGGGTAAATATTCATCAGTCCCATTCAAGCTCTACAATGTTTAATGGTAATAAAGTCCACAATTCTGTTTTACAAACGGATGATATTACTAGCATTTTAAAATAATGAATTTGGGAAGAAAATGGAAAACCCTAGACAAAATCAAAATCAAAAATAAATAAATTGTGATATCCTTTCCTGGGGCAATCTTCACACAGTGAAGGTGTTATTACAAACTGAGATATTTGTTAAGTAAAATTTTGCCAGAAGTGCTAGAATATGTACTTCTGACTTTCTCCCCCCCCCGCCCCCTGTTTTGAGTAAGATGAGGAAAATGAGGGGTTTTATGTCACAGATTTTACTGGGGAGGAGTAAATTCAGCTCCACAAAGGCAGAGAATATGTTATTTTTGACACAACATAATATAGTGCTTGAACTGTTTTTTAATTAGGGGAAATATAATAAAGAAACTTATACTGTACATTACAATAATATTTTACACTGTTAAAGTATGCATTACAAGAGCATAACATCGCAAAACTGTAAAATGATTAAGATTAAAGAATAATATAAATATCATTTAAATTATAAAATGTTTGCTTTCAATGTGAAGAGAAACTCATATTTAAAATGCTCATGCATCGTTTGCTGCTTTACTACACTGTTAAATATTTAATTTTAAACTCGGATTCATAGCTTTTTAAAGCAAGGTATCACTTTGGACAACATCTTTCAAGGTGCGATGTATAATTTGTTTGATCTTCTATGAATGTTTCATACACTACTTTTTCAGGCAAAGAAGAGGTAGCAAGTTTTTCCTCATCCTGGAATAGTAATTCTTTAATTGTGTCCTTATAAATCAGATTGAACCAAGTCGCACCTTTTAAATGTATCAACTTCCCTTAATTTCAATTATACACATTTTTCTCTCATTTCTCCCCTCCTCAATGTCTCTGACTCTACTGTATCTATATGATGTTTTGAAAAGGTGCTTAGTAGTAAACTATTTGAATCCATTGCAGCTTTTAATGGCATTTTTGTAAAATGTCAGATGGGTTAATACTGACCAGTGAGAATCGACACCATTTACTTTGATATTCAGTATCAAATGACATTTATTGCATTCTCAGAATGTAAATGGAAGAACTCACCAGTGGGCCCAAAGCACAGCCGTTTGCTGTGCATGCTTGAACTCTGAAGGCATGGAGACTCCAAGGAGAAAGGCCAGAAATATAATAGGTCACTTTTGAGGAATTCTGCACCAGAATTCCATTCATGTACAATCCATAACTAGTAATAAGTCCTATTTTAAAAACAATAGCAATAAAAGAGAAACATATTAAATCACAATAAAGGTACATTTGAAAGGTTACACTAACCTGGGAGTACGTAGGTCACATTGAACTCAGTTAAGCCTACTTCAGAATATATATGTATAAGTAGTCCTCAATTTACCGTATTTTTCGGAGTATAAGAGACTCTGGACTATAAGATGCACCTTTTTTGGTGAGGAAAACAAGAAAAAGAAATCTGCTTCTGCCTCCCAGCAATTTTGCCTCTTTGCAGCAAACAGCCTGCTTTACTTTCATTTTCATTTTCAGTATAGCTTGATTAGCACAAGAAAGAAAAATCTGCTCCCAGCAATTTACCTCCTTGCAGCAAGCAGCAGAGGCCTGCATAGCAATAGGCAACGGCAATTTCTGCAGCCTGAAAAAGCTGAGAGTCGGGGACAATCAAGTTGTGCTAATTAGGCTGTGCTGAAGCTGAAATGGACTATTTCTTCTGGCTGCTTGCTGCAAGGAGGTAAATTGCTGGGAGGCAGAGGCCAAAGGGTGGGGACCAGTGGGTGGGAGGGGCTACATTTGGTGTATAAGACGCACCCAAATTTTCACCCCCTTTTAGGGGGGTAAAGGTGTGTTTTATACTCCAAAAAAATACGGTACAACCATTCAAAAAAAAAAGTGACTTACAACCAGACCTCAGTCTTACAACTATCACAGCATCCTCATGGTCATGTGATCCAAATTCAGGCACTTGGTAACCTCTATGTATTTGCAATGGTTGCGAGTTCCCAAGGTCATGTGATCGCTATTTGCAACTCTTCCACTGGCTTCCAAAAATCAAAGTTAATGGGGGGAGCCGGCTTTGCTTAATGACCACTTGATTCACCCAGCTGCAGGGATTTGTTTAACAAACATGGCAAAATGTTGCAAAATTCACCACAACTCAACCGTCTTGCTTAGCAACAGAAAATCTGGTCCCAATTGTGATCATAAGTCAAGGACTTATGTATTTATTATTATTTGTTTAAAAGTTTTGTATGGCCACTCATCATAAGCAGAACTTTAGGTGGCTCGCAACAATAAAACCATTAACTATGAAACTGGAATTAAGTCTGGGAAGAATGTTCAAATGAAACTCACGTGAACCTTGCCTTGACTCTCTATGGTATAAGAAGAAAGGAAGAGAAGAAGAAAAAACTCTGTCAGACTTTCAAAATTCTGTTACCATTGTATACTTAGACAGAGTTCCAGCATCTATTGTGGAGTTTCCTGAATTTACTTTAATGGGTTGACACTATGTGCCAAAATTTAGATTTTATCCATGGAAGTGTGTTTTCAAATTCAGACATTCTGGAAATGTGTGGGAGGTTCCTCACAGAATATGCTTTTGAATAGACTCAGAATTGAAAAATTCAGTATAATTCTGTTTCACAATATCATACTGCATAAAACATACATGTAGATAAAAATAAGGAAATATTTAAATCCTAATCAGAAAAAAAAGCTAGTGGATCATATTTTCAACATAATGCAACCATTCAGAAATAATCTGTAGCTTTTCATTGCAACAGTAGTTGCCAAATGTATTATAAATAAGAACATCTATTGTATTTTCATTATTGTGTTTTCATTATTATTTCACACAGAAATATTATGGGTTATACCACTTGTTTGTTTATGGAAAAAGTGATCATCTGCCCTTTCTTTGAACAGGCCTGCAGGAGAGGTGTCCAGAATTATTCCTGACCATTTGATTTGCACTGCACCTGACAGGCAGCTAGATGTATATTTGTCTATAGCTGGGCTATAGAAAAACAAACATATTACTTCAAAATTAAAACAATGAGATTAATCCAAATCCAGCATTTAATATGATACCAATTTATCAGTTATATATCTTAATTTGTTACTTTCTCCCAAAGCTGTGTGCAGAACTGTTTCTCCATTTTGTCCCCTACAACCACCTTGTGCAATAGATTGGGAGAAGAGCTTCCATAACAAATAATGGCTTTAAATCTTCACAATCCTTCACCAGTGTGTTAATCTCTAGTCTATGTGGTTTTGCTGTCCCTTTTGTAGAAACACTTTGTTACATTCACAGTACAATATTTGAGTAACTGATTAATTGGGAAAGCAGATCATTTCATGGAGAGTGGGACATGAGCAATTATGTAATGGTCATGACACGACATCAAAGATAAGCAATTATTTTGCTCGTTCCCTCTCATCATTTTATTTTATATTTCTAAAGAAAAAATACTTCAGAGAATAATTTCTGTAAAATTATTTCAGTTTTTCTCATCTCACAAAAGTTTAAAAGTGACAAGACAAATATAGAAATGTTTCTAAAGTGACCTTCTCCAACCTAAAGTCATGATGTGGTCATACTACAAGGAAATCATTGTATTTTAATACACCACATAAAATATATTTTATAACTACCTTTTTCCCCCAAATTTAATTCCTGACAATTTTTTTCCTCTTCATGTTTGTCCGCTTGTATATTTCCTTTTAATATGATTTTGTTTCACCTATGATATGTACTATATTGCTAATATTTGTTCCATCAAAAACCTTGGGGAAATTTGTTTGGTTGGCAATTGACATGAAGATTTTCTATTCTCCAGGCATAATTAAACTACCTTAATGTGAAAACATTCTTTCAGCGTCAAGCTGCTGTATAAATTATTGCTATTGTAATAAAACTGAAAGAATTGTTTTTATCCACTGGGATGTAAAATTTGAAATATACTGTATCAAAAGGTACTAATACAAAAATTCAATAGATATACAATAACACCTCAGGACAATGTTTCTAAATAGCCTCAAATAGCTGAAAATTATCCCAAGTAAGGTAATGTCTGACAGGAATACTTTAGATTCTTCCTCAGTGGACCATGTTTGCTTCTAGGAGAAGAAAATCGCCAGGGGGGGGGGGTTATAATCCAGATTTGCAATGCCTAGGGTTGTCCTTTGAACACCTATGAACTTCTGATATTTAACATAAGCTGAATTGTTTCCCATATCATGAAACAGTGTCTGAAAATGCTGCATCCAACACATCCATCATATTACCATGCCTTATCTTATTTCTTCATTCTAACCAAATAATTTCACACAGGTGGCAAATCTTTACCATATCATATCCACTCCAGAACCAGGAAAAGAGAAGATAGGAAGTTAACAGCAAACTCATTCCTGCTGAAAAAAAATGAAGAGGAAAGGAAACGGGGGAAGTATTTCACCAATATCTAAAAGGACTTTCAGGTCTTATCAGTATCAGTATCAGTCCTCCTGAACTGAATTTTATTCCAACTCCCCACCAACTGCTCTAATTGCAATGGTACTGTCTCAGGTAGTACTTGCAGGACCACCTCCTACTGGCCTCCCACTGCCCAGTGCGCTCACATAGGACTGCCCTCCTCCGGGTGCCGTCGGCCAGACAATGTCGGCTGGCGGCCCCCAGGATAAGGGCGTTCTCTGTGGTCACACCAACCCTCTGGAATGGGTTACCCACCGGGCTCCGGACGGCCCCCGACCTCCGCACTTTCCGCGCCGACCTGAAGACATGGCTTTTTCAGCAAATTCCCTGATCTGCCGCGAGGTTTTAATTGTCTGGGGATTTTAAATTGGCTTGTTTTAACATTTTTATTGTTATGTTGTTTTTATCCTGTGAGCTGCCCCGAGTCCTATGGGAGAAGAGCGGCATATAAATATGTTAAAATAAATAAATAAATGAATAAATAAATAAATAAATAAATAAATAAATAAATAAATAAATAGATAGTATCATGGATTTCAGTTCCTTAGGTGTCACTTACTTGAGTGATTTGCCACCCAAAGTTGCTACAAGATTGCAAAGTTTTTTCTGATTGTTATCAGATCCTAAAGATACTGATCTGTCCCCGTACCCACACACACACACACAGCCAGTCGAGGGTTAAGGAAACACTTTGGAACGCACCCAGTTCTTATCTCCGACTTGGCAGCGATAGACACACCGTCTGCCAAGGGACTTTATTTGCACAAACAGACAGATAAAATACGAACGTTCAAGAAAGTCCAAACAGAAATAATATTCCTCCCAGCAGTTCCGGACGAGGCTTTAGTGACTCCAAGGTTTTGCTTTGTTCATCACAAAAGATCCTTGACCACCACTCTCTATTATATAGTCTCTGGGGTGTGGTCTCTGGGGTGTGGTCCAGTGACTCAGTGCTAATCCCTAGCACGCCTCCTAAACTGCTGCAAACGTTTATCACGCCTTCGGAGGCGTGCGTCCAGGAATGATGTCTCATTATCACTTTGACTGGAATCAGCTGTCTCCTCTCCCTCGACCGGCACTTGAGACAATGCCAGAGGGGAGGGGCCTGGAGAGGGAGGCCTGGCTGACTCCTCTTCCTCATGCTCGGAGCTTTCTTCCTCCGATGGGACAGGCTCAGAGGGCGGGGCCACAACACTATCCCCCACCGCAGGGCCCTTCCCCCGGGTCTGACGGTCGGGATGGGGTCGGGATGGGAACTGTTCGTGGAAAGCCCGCACCAGGTCAGGGGCCTGAACGGCAGACGCGTCCACCCAGGTGAAATCCTCGGGCCCGTACCCCTTCCAGGCGATGAGGTATTGGAAGCGCCCCTTCAGCCAACGGGAGTCCCGGATACTGTCCACCTCGTACGTCGAGGCGTCGTCCTCGTCGGCTGCGGCTGGGGGGGCAGGCGTCGGCGGGCGGCGGAGATGGCTCGCGGGGGCCTCAGGGACCAGGAGGGACCGATGAAAAACAGGGTGGAGCCGCATGGAGCGGGGTAGAGTCAACCGGTAGGCCACCGGATTGATGACCGCCTCGATAGGGAAGGGACCGATAAAGCGTTGGGCTAGTTTCCGTACCGGCCGGTCCGTGGGGAGGTGTTTCGTGGACAACCACACCCGATCTCCTACTTCCAGCGGTGGTGTCGCCCGGCGGGCGCGATCAGCGAACCGTTTATAATCCTCTTTCGCCCGGATCAGCTGCCGCCGCACCAGTTGCTGC